ATTTAATTAAATAATTAATCTATATATAGTATTATTTATATTACAAATGCAATTTATGCATTAAATATTTGGCGTAACAAAGCGATTTTCGCGGATTCGAGCCTTTTTTGGGGTCCCGATCCGATTTGGTTTCGGGGGTGTGATTTTCGCCATGCGACAAATAATCGTTTTCTAATATGTTTTATTAGTAAACGTTTATTCGTCGCATTTTAACTGTCACCTCCTGCATGCATTTCGGAAATGAAAAACGCCGAAGTCATGTGACTTCGGCACTTAGACGGAGTTTTAAAATTCCGACCAGGCCCTGAAAATTTACGGGAACCCGAATTCTAAGGTCACTTATGCGTGACACTTAGTCGGAGTTTTAAATCTCCGATCGGGTCCCGGGTCCCGTGGCGCAGGCGCGGGCGCGCAAGGGTGGGTGGGCGGGGAAAGTAAGATTTTTTAAGATTTTCGAATAATATCGGCCTAAGATATAATCACAAAGACTAAAATTTAACTAAAATTTAAAATCCTTCGATGCGATTTTATTTTGTCAAAAAGAAAGTTTAACTTAAATTTAATTCTTTAAAACTTTCTTTAATTGTTAAAGAAAATTCACATAGTACAAAATCTATGTGACATAATTGGTCATGGATTTTTACTACTTTTTTTGTTAGCGAGAATCGCGCTTTATATTAAGGGACCCGGGAAAAAATCCCAGGTACCCGGTTAGCGAGGTTAGCGCTTTATATGTTTAGATGTTAGAGTTATCCATAATTAAAATGCATTTTTCAATGTTTACGATGTTAAAATTGGTTCCGTCTTACTTCATCGCCAATCATTTCACTGACAACTATTTAGCCGACATCACGCAGATGGCAAATTACTAAAAAAAAATAAATACCTGTTGCTAAATGCTAACCCTAACATTATGTGATGTCGACTAAATAAGCTTTCGGTGAAATAATAATAATTGTCATTGGTCAAGTAATCAACAAAATAAGATTCAAAATCGAGTTGTTCAAATTGCTCATCCTTGTGATATGTTTGTTACTTGGCATATGAAAAAAAAGAGTATTAAAAAAAGCTATGATACGTACTTATGTTAAAAATTTTAGTGAAGTGTGCCGACCGGTTAAAAAAAAAAATTCATAATATTAATATGTATATATATTAATATAAGTTCCTCACCCTTACTATTACAGAATTAGACATAAAATAGTGAATCATTTTTTAAAATAGAAAATCAGATAAGATTCTTTCAATACTTTAATATTACCGGTATGTACGCATTTACAGTAAATATTTATTTTATATGCATTTTCTATTTAATGGTATTGCTAACTTGCCCTTGGTTAACATAACCACCCACTTATTATAACTCAAACAGCCTAGATGATCATATTGATGTACTAAGAAAAAAATGTTCAGCACTATAAAAAAAACCTATCCCAGCTTTAATTCTACCCTAACTCCAATTTTAACTCTATTTTTAATATTTAATTCTAATTTTAATTTTTAAATTTGATTAATTAAAAATTAATAGTAAATTATGATTGATTAAGTTTTATAACTTTAATCTGGAGTTAAAATTAATTAAATTCTCTATTTAATGTGAAGTTAAAAAAAAAAGTTCAAAATTAGCAACTTTCGTTATTTTGAAATTATCAAAGTTTTAGATAAATCTTGTCCTAATTTAAGATCATTTAAGATCTTTTATACAATGACGGGAAAAAAAAAAGAATCGACGGTTTTAGCAATAAAGAAAAAAAAGAATCAAATTTTCTTATATAAATAACCTTTTGAAGACCTTCTTCAATCCAACCCAACCCATCCATTTTACATTTCTTTAAAAAATAACTTCTCCCACACACAAAAAAAAATAAAAATAAAAAACATTTAATAATAAACCATCTTTTTAAATCACGATCAAAAAAAAAAAAAATGAAGTTAAATATATCTACAATATGTTTGATCCTTCTCCTCTCTACCTCTACCGCAATTGCGGCTCCATCTAGGCAAAGTAATATTTTTTCTAGTTTTTACTAAATAATGTTATTTTATAAAATGGTCGCATATATTAATAACATTATTCAATCTCTTTATAATAGCATATAACGCTAGGTCAACCTATGGCAAAGAATTACTACGTGATTATTATTTTTTGGTCTTATAATTTTGTATTTTATTCTAATTAACTTTTTATGTACTGACATAATTTCTATTTAACGTAAAGTCAGTAGAAATGATGAAAACTATGGTAGTGAAGGCAACAATGGTTATAGTCAAGAAAATAAGAAACGTGGTGAAGATGAAGGTGAAGAAAGTGGTGAAGGAAATGGTGAAGATAGTGTAAATAAGAAACGTGTAAATAAGAAACGTGTATATAAAAAACGTGGTGAAGATGAAGGTGACGAAAGTGAAGGAGGAAATGAAAGCAGTGTAAATAAGAAACGTGGTGAAGGCCAAGGCAAAAGCCAAAGTAAAGGATTCAGTGGTGAAATTAATAAACGGGGTGATGAAAGTGAAAGTGAAGGATTTGGATCTGGTTTTAGATCTGGATCAAACGGTAAGAATAAGAAACGTAGTGTAAATAAGAAACGTATATATAACAAACATGTATATAAGAAACGTGTATATAAGAAACGTGTACATAAGAAACGTGGTGCTGAAAATGAGGGTGAAAGCCGAAGTTCAAGAACCGGCTCCAATGGTGTGATTAAGAAACGTGATATTAAAGTTGAAGACCAAGGAGAAGGTGAAAGCCAAGGTTCAGATACCGGATCAAATGGTGTTGCTGATTGGAATGGTGAAGGTGAAAGCCAAAATTCAGAAACCGGATCCAATGGTGTGAACCGTTTTGTTGATTGGAATAGTGAAGGTGAAGGTCAAGGCGAAGGTGAAAGTGAAAGCCAAAATTCAGGAACTGGATCCAATGGTGTGGACCGTGTTGTTGATTGGAAGCTGGAACTCCACTGGATGTCCAAATTTTTCCAGTGTTCCAGTGGTTCCAGTAAGAAAACCTCCGATAACGATTTTTTCACTGGAACCATATATTATTGACCAATAAATGCAATATAGTAATATTGTCCAGGTTATATAATTAAAGAGTGTATTGAATTTAGTACCATATTTCAATATCAACATCAGCCACAAAGTTCCCTATAATTTCCTCTACCGACAATCATTTCCCGAAAATTGTTTTCCAACAATCACTTCTCTTCCCTACAAACTAATTCCCCGACATCCAATTTCTTGGACAATCATTTCCCCGACACCACCACTTCCCTGACAACCACCGACAATCATTTCTCTGACACAATCACTTCCCGACACAACACTTCCAGACAACCAATTTCACAGAAAATCGCTTCCCTGATATCACCACTTCTCCGATACCATCACTTCCCACTTCCTCATACCACCACTTCCCGACATTCCCATTCTCAACAACCCTTTCTCTGATAACCACCACTTCTCCGACAACCATTAATTACCGACAACCACCCTTTCCCAACACTCTGCTACAACCACATTCCAATATTTTCCTCATAGCTATTCCCAACATATTAAAATCCAATACACAACTAGGAAATGCATAGCATTGTGTCCGAAGCTAAGTAATCGATTGATTGAATATCAATAAGCTCGTGATCGACAACCAATCAGAGATACTGAAGCGAACAGACAGAATCACGTAACAGATCAAATATAACAGAGTGTCCTCCGCTATGCTCCGGACAATTAAAAAAAAAAAAATTTAAAAAAGTAAAGAAAATTAAAATTCGAAAAATAAAAAAAGATTGAAATAAAAAAAAATAAAAATTAAAAAAAAAACTAAAAAAAATTAAAAAAGTTAAAGAAAAAAAATTAATAAATTAAAAAAAAATAAAAAAATTAAAAATTAAAAAATAAAAAAAATAAAATTAAAAAGGTTAAACTAATTAAAAAACTTAAAAAGTTAAATTAAAAAAAAAAATAGGAAATGAAAGAAATACAATGAATTAAATTAAAATTAAATTAATCAATAGTAGTAATATTTCTGAGAGATCATCTTGAGTTTTGCCTAATAGAAAAAAATTTTTTGTGAATACTCGAATACTCGATTAGTTTAGAATATTTGATTCTTACATAATAGTGACCAATGTTTTAAACTATTCGAGTATTCAAGTATTCGCAAAAAAAAAATTTTTTTTTTTTTTTGTAAATATTACCATTACGAAAACAGGGATAATTAAATTAATCAAAAAAATTAATCAATTAAATTAATCAAAAATTAAATTAATTAAAAAATTGAATTAGGCCATTCAAAGCTAATTTTTTCGTTCTCATAGCATATAATTTTAAAAATGATATGGCAACCTGGTTTTTAAATAAAAAAGCATATAAAATTTTTATAGACATCTAAAAAAATTCACCCGGGTAGTAAATATAGTCAAAATTTCTCTTAAAATTTTTCAGAATTTGACCTGGCAAGGTTATGAGAACCAATTTATTAGGTTTGTATGGCCTTACTTTAAAAAAATAAAATAAAACGAAATAAGTTGAAAAAAAATTATAACGGATAATAAGTTATCTGGCAGCTTACGATGATTTGCCTGCCCAATAAAAAAATTATTGGGCAGAGACGATAATTAAAAGGTTAAACTATTGTCTCTGCTTAATAATTTTAGAATTTTGCTTGCCGGTTACATGGACGAGTATATCATATATAGATAAGTATATATATATATATATTTACATGAATTTTTTTCTCAAGCTTGCGTACCCAGTTAAATTAACCTCTTTTCTTTTCTACTTTTTCGGTGTGTTAGGTCTTCTGCTGATTTCGTCACTTCAGTGTGAAGCTTTCATGGTATGATTTCGTTGCTTTTGTGTCGCTGTTTTGGAGCTTCACAGTGACTACCTTTTTTTCAGGCTTGAATTGTTGTTTGGTGTTATGTGATTTCGTTCTTTCAGTATGTTAGATTTTGATCATTTCGCCGCTTCAGTATCGTCATTTTAGGAGCTTTTGCTGGCATGATTTCATCACTTCAGTGTCGTTACTTCGATGTTGTCTTTATTAGTGTCTTTGTTCGTCTCTTCAGCATCATCATCGCTTGAGCCTTTGATGTTGTTGTATTTAAGCCCTTAGTGCGTCATTGTGGATATTTTGTGTTTGGTTGTTATTTTGGCCATGGAAATTGTGACTGTATCTTGCTGTTGTTGTTTTAACATAGTTAGTGGTTAGGTTAGAGTTGTGATTATTTAGCAATTAGGACTGGAGTTAGTTAGCGGTTGGGTATTTTCTTTTTTTTGTATGTTGTAAGTGGATGCGGAGTAGCTGTAGATTCGGAACACTTAAGTTAAATTCAGGTCTTAAATAAATTTTTTTTATTTTATATTTGCCGCATAACCGCAAAATAGCGCATTGGGAGTTATTTCGAATTTCGGCCTGAATTAAGCTTAATTTAGGCCGAAATTCGAAACCACACCCCATCGCGTTATTTTGTGGTTATACGGTATTTTTTAAATTTTTACTTTTTTATATGTTCATTTTGCCGGGGCATCAAAGGGAGGGATGTTATTAACCGAAAAATTAACTTCGAGCGGCCTAATGTACAAAATATCCCAAATGTCCCAGATGTGCTATTCATTTCGCATGTCGTGAGAAATGGCTTCCTTTTTCTTCAAAATAATGTAATTACCCCAAAATATACTCACCAATGTATAAAAAACTATACAAGCGACGTTTTTTGTCGCCAAAATAAAGGTCAGTTCTTTGAGTTCCAAAAGTTCCAAGTTAAATAATTCAAAGTATATAACTTACTGAATCCTTTATCGTACAATAGTTAATTTTGTCCCCATAAATAAATCGTAAAATTAAAATTTTATTCAAATCTCTAATTCGATTACTTTTATAGGATCGTCATTGATTACCTCCGTGATCAATTAAGAGTTTCGTAATTGTTTCATTGCATATTATTGATAAACTGATACCCGTGACCTCATACCACGTGATAACATGAATTCGATTCACAAGTCAGTAATTCGAACCCAGAAGCGAGAGATAAATAGTAAACGTTAGTTAGTAAGGGTAATATAGGACTATATTATTAGTGCAAGAAGAAAAGGCATAAGATACTTAGCATTTTTGGGATTTCGTGACTTCCGCAGCAAGCTTGAAGTTGAACCTAATCCCTCAGACCAAACTCATCCACGCCTCTACCGAAGAGCCTTATTGATTATGATAGTTTAGTGTTAGGGTATAGTATAGTTTTAGTGTATAGATAGTTTAGTTTGTGTTACAGTTGCCCTGGAAGTGTTAGTCTTCACAACGTTAACCCGAACCGAACCTGAACCGAAAATTATCCAATTTAGAGATGCTCGAAATAAGCGGTTCTCAAGTATGCACCAATCAAATTTCACGATCGACACAATTGTTACTCGATTTTGATTGAATAACGGCCGCAGATCTGCCCACATTACATAATTGTTTACTAATTTCCGGCCGCAATTAACTTTTGATTTTTTCATTGCAAAAATAGAAATTTTTGGAAAATAATCCCACATTATGGTAAAATTGACCCAGGAAGAATTTTCACTTAATATACTCTGTGGTTTTATTGCCGTATTACCGCGTAATAACACGCAGGGGTAAAATTATGAATTTCGGCCCGAATTAAGCTTAATTCGGGCCGAACCTCGAAATAACGTTCATGAGCGTTATTACGCGAAAACACGGTAGTAGAATTCTGAGTAATTCCGGCAAAATTTTTTGATCATCGCTCTTAGCCAATCAAAACCGAGAATCTGCCGTGAAATTTTGTTGCAGCAGCTAGGGTTATTAAGAAAGCTAGATAGTTATAACGTGGAAATGTCATTTTTAAAAAACTGTTGATACGTAACTTGAAATTTCGACTATGAAACCACATTCTGCGTTATAATATAACTTTAACGTAGATTTTTTACTTTAAAATATTACACATATTGAAATGGTTTGATTTTTTGAAGAGATCTGATTAGTGCATATCCAAGCTAATGAAATAAAAAATCACTGGTAATAATATTTATACTTTTTTCAAACATTGAACAAAAATATCCCAGCAATTACCTATCTAATCCATATCATAGAATAAAAATAAAAAAAGTTTTCATCGATTTTAGGTAGACAGTTATCATGGTATTATCGATCAAAGTTTGGAAAAACTTAACTGCTGACTTTGTTTTAATAATCGCCTAAATTCTTTTTAACTTCGAACAATAATTCCTCGGCAGCAAAATCAGTAAAGTTTTTTTATAATAATTCCATGAATCCATAGGATAAAAATAATAAAAAACTTACATTAATTCTGAATATGATTATTACTATAGTAGCCGCTGAGTTTATAAGTATACCGCGCTTAGATCTGATTAACCAACTTCGAATTATTCATTTTTTAAAGAATTTAATATATTAGCCCTAAAATTTCGGGTTGAAGCTCTAACCCGAAAATTGTCAACCCGACCCGTTCGGAGCACTAGTTATATATTCAAATCTGATCACCTCTCAAAACTGATACAAAACCTGCCCACCGTGCATACTGATTTTAAGATGGTCAACTGTATTAGATTTATACAATGGGAACGGACTTGGTAGATTAATTTTTTATCAGATTTGACAGGTTATCAGTTGCTAATAACGTATATTGATATCATTATTTTATTTTTGCACTTCAGATAAGTTGGGTATTATGTTAGATTCAGCTGCTATTACTTCAGACAAAGCTAGATATTTCAAATTCAACAGTAGTTATTTCAGACAAGCTAAGCATTTTAAAATATTGGCTATGGATAAACAAACCAAAGATTCTTAGTTGTTAGATCTACTATTTCAATATCTTCACCTGGTTCATACTTATTATTGCTTTTTGGTTTATATTTTAAAAATTTATTATAATTTACATTAAATAAATAAAAAAATACTTTTATAGATTTTACTATAATTTTGTTGATTATAATCTTCATGCAGTTTCAACAAATATAATAAAATTTTGTTGTTTGAAGTTATATAAATTGAGTTATATTTTTCTTTAATTTAGTTAATAAGTTCTTGCTCATGTTGAACTTTTTTTATTAACACCTCTTCATATAATATTTATTATAAAAGCTTATATTCAAAACCTTTCTATGCTTTTGTTAAGATTTGT